TGTAGTTCTATGTTGCAAATATCTCCTCCCAGTCTTGACTTGTCTTTGCTTTTTTTAATATCTTTTGCTACCTCAGTGTTTTTACATTTAGATCATTGATCTACCTCAGTGGTACTCAACTATGGGTGACTTTGTGGCCCCCAGGAGACATTTGGCTATGTCCAGAGACATCTTTGGTTTTCACATCTTGGGAGTGGGGTGCTGTTGGCATCCAGTGGGTAGAGGCTGGGGATGCTGCTAAATGCCCTACAATGTACAGGACAATTTCCCCATAACAAAGAATTCTCTGGTCCAAAATGTCAGTGGTGCTGAGGTTGGAGACCCTGCCCTAAGGATTCTGATTCAGGAATGAGGCAGGTTCCTAGAATCTGAATTTGTAACAAGTACCTCGGGTGATTTTATGATCAGGCAAGTTTGGGAGCCACAAAAGTATCTTAGTATGGCAAGGAAAGGTCAGTGAGGGCTCCCCGGAGGAGGCAAAGGAAGGGAAAAGAGAAGTCAGACAGCCCTGGAGAGAGGAAGCGTGTGGCATACCCGCAGGGTGGGGAGGAGGTGAGCCTGGTGGCTCAATCCCTCTGACCCCCTGAGCAGCCTTCTCTTTTGGTGCCCTGAAAGCCACACACACTCCCTCCTGTGGGCTGGAACGTGCTACCTGTGGGCACTGCTGCTGCTCTGGTCTGCAGCAGTAACGAGGAGATGTGTGAAGGGCTCATTGTCAGAGACCCGTAGCTACTTTTGAGTGCTGTCAGTAGACCCAGCTTTGTACTGTGTGTCTTCTGTACATTCTCCCATCGTATTTTTGTGCCAACCCTGTGAGATACCATTAGTAGCAGAGGAAACTGCTGGACAGAGAGGTTCAATGAAGAAGCACGAATGTCATCTAGCAAGTAGGTGGCAGAGCTGGGTTTCCAACACAGGCCTTTCCTCTTAGCCACTGTGCGCTGCTGAGAGACGTCCCAGAGCCCCATCCAGAGCCTCCCAGTCTGTTCTGCTCTCCAGCCTTGCGTAATGGGTGGTCAGATCCCAGGCTGCCCTGACTTGGACGGCCTTCCTGAATAGCCCTCATCCTCCATGGCAGCAGGGAAGACACCCCCACAAGCAAGGAGCTGCTTGACTTCCATTTGCTTTTCTACACGCTAGGCTCTTGAGCTGACTTTCAAAGGGAAAGCTTCCTGCTTTGAAAGCAACCAAGTATTTAAAGTCAGAATGCTAATTGAAACCTCATGGAGAGTGTGCGGGCCTCTTTGCCCTTATTTGTCCAAAGTCTGATTCCTTCCCTGCAAGCATTTCCTGATAGCATTCTTGAGCTGGAGCCCAGTGTCACGGTCTGCCTATTCGTTTATGGAATCTCCAGGCTGTCACTTGGATAATTGATTTCAGGGCCTCACTCTATCTGCACAGCTGAGTTGTCCATGCATCAAAGGCAGAATGTGGACGTTTTCTTCCCTGAGCAGCTGTTTCTCTTAAAGCCTGAGGTTCTGCTTACCTTTTCAGTTCCAGTGAAAGGAGTTTTCCCATGAGTTCCTTTTTCTTTGTGATCTAGTCCTGCATTCCCCAATTGGGAATGTCACTTGACCTCTCTGAGACTCTACTTCTAATCTGTAGAAAATGCAGAGGAATGAGCCTTCCTCAAAAAAGTGTTGGGAAGACAATACAGTTTTTCCACACCTTGTCAGCTTTTTGGAAAAAAAGTACTTGGTTGAGGGTGACAGGCTGCAAACTGGTAGCCTGCAGGCCCATTTCAACTGTGGGTGTGTTTTGTTTGCCCCATGGTAGATTGGTGAGTGTGTGTGTGTGTGTGTGTGTGTGTGTGTGTGTGTGTAATTAGTTTACCATTCTTTAAAAATTGGGAGAGTCACAGAAAAATCTGGATTTCTGGCATCGCTTGGAACAAGAGTTCCCACAGCCCTGGGCTCACATTCCTGCCTGGCCACTCTTGGCTGGAGCAGGAAGAGCCCGCCCCTCTTGGGGGCAGGGCACATGCCCCTGTGTCAGGCACCAGGGCCTCAGGCTGACCCGCCTGCATTCATTTATGCTGCTTGCCCGCCCCTGTAGGCATCTGAGTTGCGTAAGTTATTAACTCCATATTTTGTTGTCTCAAATGTAGAAGTGGGTGGGATAACATCTGGAGGGTACTGTCAGGGTGATGTGATTTACCAGCCCTGGGAAAGCCTCTTCCTTCCTTGAAACCAGGGTTTGACTCCAGGCTGCACATTCGCATTGTGTCTGCCCAGTGGGGATTATTTTTCCACCGTGCTCAGGAAAGCATAGCCATGTGGAAGTACAAGGTGGAAGGCTCTGGAGGGTGGAGTCCAGCTCTTTAACAAAAGGACCAGGAACTTGAGGCTGAGTAGTTGCAGGAAGGGAACATGGCAATGGCCTTGATATCCGACTTTCCTCATGGTCATTGCAAAAAATGCCAGATAGTGCACTAAAACCATGAGAGGACACTTGGCAGGGTTGGATTTGGGGGGCAAGGGATGGAGGAATGTGGGCAGATTTTTAACCTTGGAGGATGGAAAAGATACATTTGCTGCTCTTGACTTTTATTGGCCTCTGATGCCCATCCAGGGTCTGAGTAGGGCTCAGGGCAGGGCACAGTGGGGTTAGGAGTGGAAGTTGGTCTCTTCTTCCAAATTGGGAGCAAAGGGAAAAGGAAAATGGGCTTTAATTGGCTAATTCCAGTTTAAACCTCCTCACTGCCCCATGCATTGGTGTTTTCTCACTTGGAATGTGGAGCAGGAGCCTTGCTGAAGCCCCTGGCCTGAGGTCGCCCTGCTAGTTGGAAAGGTCAGGACATAACCCTTTTATCTGTATGGCTCCTTTTTTAATGTTTCACATTTTCTATTGAGAAATATTTGGTGTTTGTTCCATTCCTAACTCCCTTTTCCTTACCTCCTCCTCTTCCCAGGCTCTAGTCCTGTCTCCTCCAAATACCACTCCCAGGGATATTTGCATTTCAGTAGAAGAGTTTTGAAAACACTTAGGGTCTCTAGTGGGGCATATCAGGCCATTAGGCCAGCAGCAAGATTTAAAGGACAATGAGAAACAGAGGAGTCCATTGTCTTCCTGGCCCTTACCCCTAAGAATTTTTCACTGTGCCTGATTTGGTCAGCAGTTGGGACCTTTTTCCATTCCAGTAAAAGCAAGTTCCCCATGTTGACTGAGCTGCCTGAAGCCAGGGGCTGTGTTCACCATCTGCTGAGTGCTTGTTGTGGGATAGGGCTTGTTGTGGGATAGGACTTCCTGTGGTGCTGATGAGTGTCTGGGGGTCACCCTTGGGAGCCAGGGGTCACAGTCTGTGGGAGTGAGGCTTGTGCTTCCTTAGAAATGGCTGTGTTACTTGAGAGGCTGAAGGAAGCTTTGTAGGAAGAGGAATTAGATAATTTTTCTTTTATCCCAGAAGTCTTCTCCCTGTCATTGGGATGTGGTCCTTTGCCCTATTGTACCCAGGTATGGTGTACCAGGTACCTCTTGTGATGCTGTTGTCTAAGGGATATTTGAAGGTACTTCAGAAACATGCTTTTAGGCCTCAGGGGCCCTGGTGTCCAACAGAATGGAATACCAGAGTAGTCTGGGGTTGCGGTCAGTGTCCAGCCAGCAGGGCCCGGAGACTGTGGCAGTGACACCCGGGCAGGGCCTAGTCAGCCTTTGCGGGTAGGTAGCCAGGTGGTGCACAACTCTCTGTGGTCTCACTCTCCCTTGGCAGCCGGAGGGAGCCAGGAGACAACCCAGCTGTGCTCAGCGCCTCCCACAAGAGGAGCACCCCTGTGTAACAAGCCCCTCTGTCCTCCTCCTCCCCCTGCAGGCTGGATCCTCATTGACCGGTGCGGGAAGCACTTTGGTACGATACTCAACTACCTTCGAGACGGGGCAGTCCCTTTACCGGAGAGCCGCCGGGAGATCGAGGAGCTGCTAGCGGAAGCCAAGTACTACCTGGTCCAGGGCCTGGTGGAAGAATGCCAGGCCGCCCTGCAAGTAGGCATCACCCTTCCTTCCCATGCGGGTGGGGAGGCACCAGGCCTGCTTGCCATCCTCATCCTTCTGCAGAATGGGGGCAGTTCCTGTCTTACTGAGATGGGACAGTTAAGGAGTTAGCTAGTCCCCTTCAGTCAGGGTGACCACTGAGAGGCATTCCTCTCGTGAACAGGCCACGTAACTGCTCTCTAACTCATCTCAGTCCCATGGTGTCGAGTCCTCTAGTGTACGTTGCAACCCTTCAGTGAACCACAGAGTATAAAACTTGATCAGTGTTCCAGACCCATCCTGAGACTTACTTTGGCCCCATGAGTCACTGTTGGGAGCCCAGCATAATTTTTACAGACAAACACCCCTCCTTTCTTAGCTGAATTGGAGCAGGACTGTTGGGGTCAGGTCTAGTGATAGTAAAATCCCACAAAACCAAAATGCTTCTAGGCATAGCCAACAGCCTTTTATTTCGAGCAGTATTACAACATGATAGAGAATCAGAAGAGTCCTTTCGGGTTGTCCTACTGGTTTGTGTGCATGAGCCACGCGTCTGTGTCTGGCCCTCCGCTGGAGCAGTACCCATAATACCTAACTCCCTGAGGCACTGTTGCCACACACCGCCTCTGCCCTGAGAGTCCGTGACTCATGGTCAGTCTAACTGAAGGTTGCAGCATTTACTTTATTACTCTCGTTTCATTTTTATGTTTATTAAAGCAATGCATGTATATCATTTAAGAAGTCAAATAGTATGGCAAGGTTTATATCAGAAACACCACCATACCCCCTCCCACCTACCCTCACCCCTGAGGTAGCCTCTCTGGATTCTTCCAGTAATTTTTCTATTTACATTTCTACGTAATTTGCCTATATTGGTGTTTACTGACTTTTCCGTGTGCAGCATTATCCACTGCCATTACTGGAGAAAATTAGAATTTAGTCCACACACTACATCACCCCAACCACCACCAAGCTTATACATACTTATTTCTTCTCCTGTTCTCCCAATACAGTTTATCACAGTTTTGATTAAATTCAGAGTTTACATTATGAGGTCTAAATATGGCTAACGGTTAAGCCACAGAGTATACAATGATTATTTTCTTTCTTATGTAACATTCAGTTTGCCAGAGTTAGCGATTGCCTCATTGTTTGCTTGGTTTTCTGAATATGTATTCCTAATTTAGCCCCACATTCTCAGACAGTCTCCGGTCAGTAAGTTCAGACACATGAGAGGTCCTCTGTTTGATCTTTGTCTTGGAGACGTGCCGCCTGGCTTCTGTTTCTGTTAGTTTGAGGTTGGACCTTCAGGCCTGACCTCCAGGTTCTCCTTCCTCCTCTCAGTTTCTCCCACTTCATCTTTCTGTTCTACTTTCTCGGAGTTTTGGCGTTTTGTTGCTTTTTTTTTTTTTTTTTTTCAACTTTTCAACTTTTCATTTCTGCTGTCATCTTTCTAATTTCTAAGAGCCTTTTGTTGTTTTCCGAATGCTCTCTTTTATATAGCATGCTGATCGTGTTTCATAGGATGCCGTATCTGCTCTCATCTGTCTGACGATACTATTTGAAGTTTTCTTTGTTCTCCCTTCATTGTCTGACTCCTTGTCTTTCTTTTTTGCTCTTTGTTTTGGTTTCGCTCTCATGTTTGAGAGGCTTTCCCCGTACAATCTGATGATCCTGTCTGATGATGGCTGTCTGTTGAAAGAGTGTGACACTGAAAAGCTATCTGTGCATGGGCGGTCCTTATTGTCCAGTGGGCTTCGTTGTTGAATGATAAGGCTGTTTCAGTGGGAACCCCAATTATCAGAATCTATAAGCCGTTTTGGGGGGCAGGTGGTTTCCCTATAGAGAAACCTTCTACTTTCCTCCTGCCTGGTGGGAGGAAGCCCAACTGACTGCCTTTTGGGATCTAGTAGGGGAAGAGGTAGAGGCGGGGTGCTCACCGTTTAGTGTGGAGATCTTCACTTAATCCCCCCGTTTTTAGAACAGCAGCGTAGCCCTGTCCTCTACTGTATAAACTGCTCCAGAAAAGTTGTCTTTTCTTCTGCCAGAGTGGGGGAAGGGGGTGGGTCTGGGGTCTCACTGGAGCTTCTGCCAACCGGCAAGCAATCCTCTGCTCTTGCCCGGTGCCCACTAGCTCTCAACGCTGTTCTCT